CCTCTGAGCAAGAAGTTCAAGCAGTGTGTGTGATACAGTAGCAAGACATGAGAATGGGAGAAGTGAAGAGACTTGAGTTTGACCCCAAGTCTGATCACTAGTTCTCTTTATGATCTTGACAAATTTACTTCACTTCCGTGGGATGCTCAGTTTTCTTATATATAAAATAAAAAGGTTTGACAAAGAGATCAAAAAGAATGGAAAAGATCTTGTAGGTACAAAAATATTCATAGCATTTCCTTTTATAGTGGCAAAGAACTCGAAACTCAAAAGGCATTTGTCAGTTGTGGAATGGCTGAACAAATTATTTCATATCAATGTAATGGAATACCGGATTATGAGAAATGATGACAGAGACTTTTCAGAGAAATCTCAGAAGATTTGGATGAATTGATGCAGAGTGAAGTAAGTAGAACCAGGAGAGCAACACAATTTTGAAAGCACTTTAATCAATTTCAATGACCAGCCATGATTCCAAAGAATCACTAATGAAAAATACTAGACTAGAGAGGTGACAGACTAAATATGTAGAATGAGACACATTTTTGAACATGAATAATATGAAAATGTATTTTGCTTAACTATACATATTTTTATAAGATTATTTTTCTTTTTTCTTAGGGGGGGGGACAGTGAGAAGAAAAAAATACTTGATAATTTTTCAAAGTAAAAATAAAAATGAAGGGACTGAACTGGATTTCTATAAGGTCTTTGTCTTCTCTAGCAGTTTAGATACCACAGTTACCTCTTACACATACAACTACCCTATTATTTAAGACACAGATTTCCTCAGTACAGAATCAAAGTAGGGTGACCATGGATTTACTCCAGATCACGGAAATTTTTAGGGTATGCAATCACATTTGGACTTCTTTGGCAGCATAGAAACAAATGTGTTTAGCACCTAATTAGCAAGAACAATTGGTTAAATTGAGAAACTACCTCTTTTCCTCTTTACTGCTATCTTCCTCAATCTAAAACTTTCCTGCTCCCCAACATAACTTCCCCAAGCAGCAATCTTGTGGCAACTCATTGTGTTGCCCTATTCCACCATACCCCCTTAATTGAAATTTTTAAAAAGGCATAATATTACCCTGGCTCCAGTGTGGACACGTCCTGACAACCCTCTTTACAAAAGGTTAATTGAAGGGTGTGTTTCATGCAACTTGCCCTGAGTGTCAAAATTGTTAATTACAGTTTTGCCTAAGCATTAGTGATGAGTGTTGTGGCATGACATTGCATGGGATGCTTGGCTGCTTGTACTCAGACCCCACTTCCAAGATCATATTTCTCCCTGGTCTCAGAAACACTATCCCTGACAGTTTCCCTCCAGTCTAAAGAAGCTATCTCTGGCAATAACTCATGAGTGGGCCCAGTGAGGCAAACTATCTCTCCCTGTTACAAGAACAAGCTAACCTCTGTAGAATTTCCTTTGTATGAACAGGACTATCTTATACCAATACAACTATAATGTACTGATTCCCATAGTTATTATATACAATCCAGAGGTCAAGTTATAGACGTCGACTCCTGAAACTATCTTGTTACAGACATAACAGACCAAAAATATACCCTTTAGGAACCCTCTTCACACACACCCCCCATTTCTAGTAGTGAATGACTTAGTTGTATGTTATCACCTAATTAGCATACTTGTCACATAATTCACTACTTTTCCTATATAAATTTTAGCATCAGTTCTGTTAGGTTGCAAGTTCCCTAATGAGCTCTGCCCACCATGGCAGGTTCCTTGAGAATCCTTGCCTACTGTATATCATAACAATAAATCTTTGCCATCTTGACTTAAAGAATGCTTGAGTCTATGAATTCATTCCAGACAACCCTGTCCTGTATTCCGGTCCTTGAGGGATCAAAACCTCTCAGACCTCAATAACTCCATATGTGCTCTTCAATGCTACATGTAACTCTTTGTTTTTATGATGATCTGTGCAGTCCAATGTCATTTCCAGTTTTATTTCTACTACATGCTTGAAATGCTTCTTAGTCAATATGCCCTGATACATCTCTTATGTGCTAACACTGAATGCTTGTTTTTCAAGTCAGGACAACAAGCATTTATTTAGCACTTACTATGTACCAGGCTCTATATAGAGCTTTTCAACCCTGTTTTGGTAATTATCATCAAATTAGTTCTGTTTGCATTGTTTTACCTGGAGACATCTTCTATGCATTGCTAACACAGCTATTTTCACTAGAGAATTGAGAATTCCAGAAAGATTATAGAGCTCTTATTTCTTTCACTGAAACACCAGGATGCTTTGGATCCAGTTTTTTTTTTTTAAAGTTGGCACTTACCAAGTGATCATTAACTTAGTATTAGATGTTTTGTATTGTTTTAATAATATATGTTTCTGGTCTCTTGATCAGCAATAATTATCAAATGGAGCTGACTATTTAGATAGTATGTCTGTGATTATTTCCTTTTGTTTTGTAGGGAGAATATGGTGGTGATGATCATGAGCTAAGGTTCCACTGAGAAGGAATGTGGTAAGATAGATTAAGACCAGGTAAGACCTGGAAAGGCAAAATTATCTTTCCTCCGTTTTTTCCCCGTGACTACTATGAGAATAAATATTCTGGCTGTTGAATGGAGCAATGACAATAGTGATATAACACTTATCTTACAGATGTGCTCTAATGCATCTTGGAAATTTTGGAAGTATAGAAACCATATGTCTGATTGCAAAATTGCAGTCTACTCCGTAATTATCTGAAGAAGGAGGAAAACCCTGGGAGAAAATATGCTTTACATGTTTTATTATTGAAATCCTGCTCAAAAATGTTTAGTTCTTAGATTTAGTGCTATGCAAGGAAGAGAAAGAGTTCAATTTGAACACTAGAATACAACCTTATGGAAAGGAGAGAGACAAGTCCATGGTCCTGAAGCTTGAGGTAGCAAACTGAGACCTTGTCCTCTGGTACTACTAGAAGCAGTTAGAGGTAGTAAAATTAAGAGAATGTGGTGTTTCTGAAGTCAAGGAAGGAGAGGAGACGCAGTAGGAAAAACTGGTTAATATCAAATGCTGCAGAGAAGGTGGTTGAATTCTGATAAAAAGGACATTGGATTTGATGATTAGGAAGTCATTGGTGACCTTTGAAAGAACAGTTATAGCAGTATGGTAGGGATGGAAGAAAGATTGCGAAGGGCAGAGAAGAGAATAGGGTGGTGAGAAAGTGTTTTTCTAGTGTAGACAATTAGTCTCATCTAATAGGAGCAATATTGCTGCTGCTAAGAGATTAGACCTGATTATGCAAGATAGAAGTGAGTAACTCTCCCAACCTAATTCATTTGGTCAATGGTCAGTTTTCTAAAATTAGGTGTCTGTTAATCACTCCTGGCCTCTATCATTAGGATTAATAATAATAATTGACATTTATATAGAATATTTATGGTCTACAAATACAATTGTGCCCATATCTGAAGTTTCCAATTGCCTAGGTGACCTAATCTGGGAAGATTCTATAAGTTAGGTTTTAATAGATCCTAACTGGCCTACAAGAGCTGCTGGAATCAGAGTGGGAAGGAATCTCAGAGACCATCTCTTCTAGATGGTACCCACATCATGGATCTCCTGCACAACACCTTCCAATGGTCATCCAGTCTAAATTTGAAGACCTATTGGTGCCAAGTTTATTGCTCCCTAATCTCCATTCCATTTTTGGAGAGTTCTAATTGTTGGAGGGAAGGCAGAAGTTTGTAAAAAGGCTCAGCAGGTTGGGATTGGGGTAGATTTAGCTGGGCCAGAAAGGGGAAAATATTGCAGTCAGCTCAGGAGAACAGTACAGAAGGTTGCAGAGAGGGGAACCTGGGTAGTGAAAAGATGGTGGTCTTTTTTCCTCTCTCTCCCCCTCTTTATTTTCCTAGCTATCTCTCAATTCCTTCTCTGCTTTCAACAACTCTTCTCACCCAGTCATACCTGCCCCCCTTCCAAAACCTCTCTCTTTTCCACCTTTTCTTAGTCTCTTTTCTCTTAATTAGCCAGATATGGAACTGATAGTTTCAACTGTCACTCTCTATTTATTGGGTAGAGTTTTATGTTTTAATTTTAGCAGTTGGAGAGCTGGATTTTTCATAGAGTTTTTCTTGTGGAATGTTGTTGCTGGTGGTGGTCCTTTTTTCCATGGGGTGATGTCTTGACTTTTGAGTGAATTGGATTTAAGTGAGGCCAAGCTGCACAATGTCTTCAGCCTCACTCTCTCTTCCAGAGTCATCAAAGTCTAGTGGCATGACCAGTGATGGCCTGGGGTGCAGTGGATGACCTTGGCATCTTCAATGTCTATAGCATCCATCTTCATGGTTGTTGGAACAAATTGATCCCATCAGCCCATTCCTGTGGAATGCAAGCTCCCTGCAAGTAGAGATTGCTGCATTCTTTGCATTTTTATCCTCAGTGCTAGCGCACACTAGTACTGGTACTAGTACTAGCACACTGGTACTCAGTAGGTGCTTAATAAAAGCTTATTGACTGATTTCTCATTTTAAAAAAAATGGGATTTTTCATTCGTTTTTCTTACAGATGTTTGTGACCATTAATTTGTTTGTTAAATTATCATCCATCCATCCATCCACCTACCCTTTCTCCAGCCCTGACAAGTTTAAGGCTCTGAAGGCCAACTCTGGCTCAGGCGGGTCTCTTTCTCCTGGAAGCCGCTCCTCCTCCTCCTGCACGTCAGGGGGCACTGCAGCCCCCTAATGGCAGGTAATCCCAGGCATCCCGGCTGGCGTCGGAATCTCACTGACTGATCGCACAGGCCCATCTAGCGGAAAGGCTGCGTAGCTGCACTGGCTCTCGGAGAACCCAGGAGGCCCCACTGTCGCCGAAGCAGGATCGCCGGGCGGCAACCACCGCGATTTCTATTAGTGAGAGCTGTGTCATTAATTCCAAATCGCAAATGAGAGCGTGTCTACGGGATGAGGTCACACGTACTGCGGCTTCCGCCCTCCTCAAGTCCCGCCCGCCGCCGATGCCATAGCAACGCGCCTGGTGACTGAAGTGCCTTCAGTTTCCCCAGGGTGTTGAGGGCTGGTCGGCATCATGGCCCTGGCGCCCCTCAAGTTGCTGGTGCTCCCCTGGTTCCTCCTGGCGGGGAGCGCCAGGGCCCAGACTCAGCCCTCACCTCCTGGAGGAGCTCTCACCTCGGCGGGAGGGACTCCCGGCGCCTCGCCGTCCCCGGAGCCGGAGCCGGAGCCGGAGACCCCCGCCTCTCCCCCGGCCACGCCGCCGGGGGTTCTCCTCGAGGAGGGGTCCCCGGTACAGCCGCTCGTAACTGTGACCCCGGAGCCCTTCCCTGGCGAAGAGCAGGCCCCCTGGGAAGAGATTCTAAGCGGGCGCCTCTTCTGGTCTTCGACCGTCCTTGCCGAGATCTGTACGTGCGACTTGACGCCGAACTCCTGCGATCTAAACTGCTGCTGCGACAAGCAATGCCCCGTGCGCGATCCCAAGTCTGTGTTCGCCTTCTGCCTCGAGGGGAGCTACAGGTGAGCATCCCGACTCCCGGTCCCGGCACTGAGTCACCCAAAAAAAAGACGAATAAGGGCCATACCGAGGCCTGCTTCGGAATGATTTGGTGCTCTCCTCTACCCTGTTCCTCCAGCTGCCCCTTTGGCTGACCAAACCTTCTGGACTTCTCAGCCCACCCCATCAGCTCTATTTTCCCATGGCCTTTACCTGTCTTTGTATCCCCAGCGCTTAGCACTATGCCTGGTACATGTAGATGATGAGTAAAGTTTCTTGACTGAATAAAGTAGTGAGTACCAAACTGTCAGGGAAACTACTTGTAGCTACAGGGTTAACTTGCTAAGGTGAAATTGATTGCTGGTACTTTAATGACACATCTAAATACCCAGGATCCGTGGGGAAGAGCCACCTGTGTGTGGACATGCTGCTGGAAAGCAGTCACTTGTGTGACTTTCAATTGAAAGGATTACCCACCTCCCTGAGCATCAGTATTCCCATCTTTGAAATAAGGGGTTTGGACTAGATGGCCTCTTAATAAAACTTATTAAATGTTGCTGTATTTTCTCACAACCTACTCTTTTCCTTATGCCCTTACAGTCTTAACTTCTGCCCCCAAGCTTTTGAAACTGTTCTCCCAAAAATCACCACATTGCCAAATACAGTGGTCTTTTTTTCATTCCTTATTCTCCTTGAACTCTTCTGTTACATTTGACATTGTTGACCATCCCTTACTGTTGGAAAATCTTTCCTTCCTTGGTTTTAGACATCAATCACTCAATAAGTATTAAGCACTTACTATGTGCTATGTACACTAGCACAAAGAATGAAACGGTCCCTAGTCACGAGTTTACATTCTAATGAGACATACAAGTTCATATAAAAATATATACAGCATAAATAAAAAGTCAATATGTGTGTGTGTGTATAGGCAAAGTAATTTAATACAAAGTAGTCTAGGAGGAAGGGCACTAGAAGTTGGGGATATCAGGAAGAAAGGTTTTATGCAGAAGATGGTGCCTTAGTTATGTCTTAAAAGAAGAGAGGGACCCTCGAATGGAGGGAGGTAAAGAGGAAGTGCCTTCAGGCCCAGAGCATTGAGAGTGAGGAGCAGAGAGTGGGCCAATTTGTCTAAATCACAGTGTGTGGGAGGGGAAGTTAGAGCCACTGAGGCTTAGAAGATAGGTTGGAGCCAGATTATGTACAGGTAGGCCTTCATCATTATGACCTATTTGTAATCACCTGTTTACAGGTAGTCTTGCCTCTTCTGTTTCCTTCCTCTAGTCCACCTTTTTACCTGTGTCAGAATTATATTCCTTAGCCATGCCACTCCTCTGCTCAAAAATGTTAGATGGTTCCATATTGCCTACCAAAAAGAGGTCAACTCATTTGCCTGGCATTTAAGGCCCTTCCCAATCTGACACCATCCTGCCTTTAGGCCATATTACTCTGCTCCATCCATTTACCTGCCCAATCAAACGCCACTGTTCATATTTGTTTCTGAACATGCTTTGTATTTTCCCAATGCTACACCTTTGCTCATCATCTTCCCTATGCTTAATATTCCTTTCTTTTCACTGTTGAATTCCTATCCATCCTGTAAAGCCTGCCCAAATGCAACCATTCATCTACTCAATAATTCTTTAGTAGTTAAGCTCTGAGGGTGTGCCACACACTCAAATTTAGTACTGGGGTAGACAAATTTAGACATATAGTCCCTGCCCTCCTGTAGTAGGGGAATGAGACACAAACACAGATAACTAAAATGTACACTATCACATAATTAGTACTTTAAAGAGTTGCAGGTGGGCACTAAGAGGATAAACCACTGCCACCAACATTAAGGAAGATTGATGGTAGCTATTGTATGCAACTTATAGGATGGAAGTCATTAAATTTGTTGGGACCAGGATGTTATCAGATTCTGAAAAGAATGTTTCTTCAGTGGACTTAGAGGTACTTATACTCAACTAGGTAGGTGGGAGGCATAAAATAGGCATACATGGTCTATAAAAGAAAAAACAAGAAATGTTACATTTGAATTAGTTGTTAAATGACAAATTACAATGAAGCAGTTGTAAGTGCAGTCAGTTAAGGAAGAGAAAAAGGGAAACACCAAATTAAAAAATAATATTAGGGAGCCATATAGATCTGGTTGTGACTGAGAAAGGAAACTGAAAATTTTCTGTATGTGAACTTATAAAGATCTTTTGCTATATTTGCTCAATTCATTTTATGTTAAAAAAAATGTTTACTTCAGGGTAAATTGGATGATCCACTGGAGTTTTTACAATCAAAAGAGGAATTCCCTAAAGACTTCTAGATTTCAAATTTCAAGACTTTTATTAAAATGACTTCTTATCCTATAGACTTCAGCCAACATTTTAACTTTTGCTTCATGTAAGATTTGGGAATTTCCTGAGGACATGCTTCTCGCATTTACATTGTAATTATTGTATGTGCTATTTTCCTGGCTCTTCAAAGGTCGTTCTGCATCCTGTAAATCTTCTCATGCTTCGTGTATTTATCATTTCTTACAGCACAGTTATACTTCATTATATTCATGTACCACAGTTTATTTACTCAGTGATCTGTGTGATGTCCTCCCAGCTGGCAGTGATATCTCCTGCCTCAGATTTTCCTAGAGCATTTCATCTGAATCTTGCTCTATTATATTCAACCTCTTATCTCGTACTTGTGTACTTGTCAGCTCTTTTCCCCTCCTGCCTAGTGGATTGTAAGTACAGCTCTGTTTTTTACCTTTATATTCCCAGCATCAGAATATAAAAGGTACTAAACCAGTGTTTCTTAAAATTGATTTAAACATAGGATTTGTGCTTTTTTAAAAATCTTTTTAGATGTGTTTGCTTTGAAATTTTAGAATTCTATATAGATGCTTGGAATATAATTTTCTTCTAAATTATAAAGATTAGGCCACTTCAAGGCAGTTGTCTGCTTTAAAGTTTCCCACTCTTTTATGTCTTCATAGGGTAATGACTTGGGAATGTATAGATGCTTCCATTGTTTTCCGGAGTAATACCCCATTTCGTGTAACAACTGTGGTACTGCCACATGAAGGGCTACAATTTTGTATCCAGGTGGACAACCGTGAGTTGAAAACATTCTCTTCTTTTGAATTGCTCCCCCCTTTTTTTTTTGGATTCTCTGTATTATCCGTCCTTTTTCTCAGCTAATCTTTTTATCTTTTCTCCCTTCTTCCCCTGCCCCAATATATATTTTCCATGAGTCTGAGTCTTGATAAATGGTTTAAAACTTTTAAGACCTTTAACTGAATGCTGGAGGCACATCTATTTTAATGAATCCTCCTTTAGCTATGTAACCACAAGAAGACTGCAAAAATGAAGTGATTGTATAACTGAATCTGAGACAGTAATGTAATGTTGTATTTATTTGTCACATGTAAATGTTACAGTTAAACCATGCGTTTATCTTTGCAAGTATACTGTCATAAGTTTTAAATACCGTATGCAAAATTAACAAAACTTTTGAGATTTCTCAACAAACAAAGCAAAAGTACAGAAGTACTTAGATATGTATTTTACATATTCAGGATCAGTAGATTTTGGCAGAAAGGAGTGAAGTTTTAGAAACTGTTTTGCTAACACCCTATCTTTAACATCCTATCTTTAGTTTCCTGTTGAATAGGGAGCCCTTCCCTTAGTTTTTGGGGTCTTGGGTTTATTAAACACTGTGCTACATGTTTGATTGCTTCTGGGTTTGGCTTATCCGGTCTCTTCAACTTGCCTGAAGTTAAATATTTCTTCAAAGTAGTCTTCAAGGTTTTTGAGAACTCAGAAAAGGTATATGGAAGAGCAATTTGCAGGAACTTGAAAGCCTGAAAACTGAGAAGTAGGGAAGGAAGGTTAAGGCTTCCACCGGGTTGAAAAGCAGCCTGAAATACTAGACAGAGACTAGACTTTGAGTTAGGAAAACCTGGGTTCACATACCCCTTCCAACAGTGGAGAGTTGTGTGATCATGGGCAAATTGTTTCATTCTCTGAACATTAGTTTCTCCACCTGTAAATGAAGAATAATCCCTGTAGTATCTACCTCACAAGATTATTGTGCAAATAAGATATATATGAAAGGGACTTGTAAACCTTTAAATGACATATGTAGATATATATTTCAACTATCATAATTATGTATAATAATAAACTGAAGGAGCATTAGAACTAAAATAGCAGCTTGAAATGGAGGCTGTGTGTTGTATTCATTTGAGTGCTACTCTTGTATAACAGTAGATCTGCCTGAATCCCTAGGGATCCTCCAGTTGGGGATAATTCAGATGGCTGGCATCTGAAGAACGTTCAGAGATCCAGTCTTCCCTGAGATCTTTCCCCTTCTATTCTGATTCTCATGGTTAGAGAAAGAAGGACATAAGCAGTCATAGAGGAATGTGCTCTTGATAACTCCCTTTTTCATCAGATTTGCAGAAGGCATAAAAAATATGACAATGCAAAAAGTGTTTGTTGTGAGTAACCCCTCCAAGCGGGAAGTAGCTTCCTATACCATTGAATCATTTCTTTTATATCTTTCTCCTAATCAATAGTGGCTTCAAAAAAAAAAAGTTTCAGAAATCTAGAGAACACACTTTCTTCTCTTGAAGAAATGTTAGAATTCTGTCCTAGAGTGTAAGAAGTAAAAACAATGACAAAACCATGAATCTGTGAGATGTAGATAATATCAAAATTTAGGGGAGAAGATAACGACAATAAGAAATTTTGTCTAGCCATATTGTTAGGGGTAATAGCTTTTTATTTTATTGAAGATTGGTCTTGTATAAGGTGCATCTTTTCCTTGCTAAGCTTTATTTGTCTGTTTGCTTATTTTATTTTATTGCCACAATTGAACAATGAACAAATTTCTGGCTGTCAGGGTTCCGGAATATTCTTAGAAATGAATGGCTTTCATTACCTTTTCCAGCAACTTGAAATAGCTATTATAAGCCTTGAGAGAAACAAAATGAAACAAAAAAACAACCAAAAAACAAAGAAACTCTCAATTTCCAGACCTAAAACAAATTAAAGCTCATTCTAGGCAGTATAAAATTTTTCCTTTTCTTTATATACCTATTTATTTATCTTTAAAACATTTTTATTTTAAAGCAATGTCGAACTATTTCCAGCATCTTCAAAAGGTTAATAGGACCAACATAAAATCCTTGGTAATGGAGTATGGAGGTGCATCATTCCTCTCGGTACCTCAATCGATGCCAACTTTTTCTTCTTTTTACATGGTAAGCCTATGGGAAAGGGTTATGATTTTTTTTTCCTTTATGGTAAAATTGACAATGGGTGGTATGGAAGCTTCATGATGACTAGCTAAACCTCAGTCAATTGTTTGTAATGAAGATAATGTTCACCCCTTCTGGGATTCCTCCTACTCTACCATACCAAGCATTCCATTTGTACTTATTCTGCTGTAGAATCAGCCCTGTTTTCACTCCTTTCTGTTATTTTTTATTCTCTTATATCCTGCTTGGGCCATTTGTCACTACTAACAAAGTATTCCTGGGTTTCTTTCAGGCTGGAGATCCCATTCTGATCTACTCTCCTGAGTGGTCATTACTGAGTTATTTCAAACAGCCAGCAGAAGTAGGACCTGGAGAACTTTGCACTGAGAATAATGCTGCAAGTGAGTAAAATGAGGGCATTTGGGGTTATTTACTCAAACTTAAAGCAATTCTCTCATTTATCCTCTTAATTCTTTGTGTTTTGAGGATTCTTGGAAAGTAGAAGTACCACCTGCACCCGGTTCTTTAGCGAGCTGACAAGCAGCTGCACCACAGATCCCTTACTCAGGATTACCTCTTACCATAACTTCGTGGTCTTGAAGGTATGTGACTCATCCAGGATCACTGCATTACTTCTTTTAGCTCAAGGTATGTACCATTCTTACCTACTGATAAGTGTAAGTATATGTGGGTCCAAAAAGATCCCAAGTTTTTTATTCTAACTCTTCTACTCACTAATTGTGTGAATTTGCCTTAACCTCTCTCTCTGAGGCTCAGTTTTCTTGTCTATAAACTGAGAGAGTTGATAGATAATCCTACCTCTAAGGGCCTTTCCAAAGCTAAAATTCTCATCTGTAATTGTATACCCGTGTTTCCGACCACAAAAATTTCCTAGTTTTTCCTTCTTTCTTGCTATTTAATTTTTTAAAAAAGGAGGACAATGTCTTCCTTTTATTAGTTTCCTATTAATCTTCTATAGATGCTGTCTTCTTTGATATATCATCTTTGGTTTGAGGGGTCTAAAGTCCAAAAGGAGAACCAAAAGAACAATGTAAACAGTGATTTCACACACACACACACACACACACACACACAAACACACACACAACTTTAACAGCAACAAAATTCATATTAAATACAATGAAAACACTGATATTAACCTATTAAAATGAAAGCATATATCCTTTCTTGTAACCAACAGTAAACTACTGAAGTATAGGATTATTGAAATTGAATTTTCAGTTTAATTTGAATAGAATTTGAATCCCAATTTTCAATGTGATTTGAAGTCTAGAGATCCTTGCTCAGGGTTTTTTAACCTTTTTCATTTCGTGGATTCCTTTGGCAGTCTGGTAAAGGTTATGAACTCCTCCTCAGAATAATATTTTTAAATAATTGAAGGAAATGCTAAATTTCAGTTAGAGGTTAATGAAAATAAATATGTAATTTTTCCTTCCCATCCAAGTTCATAGACCCTCTGAAATCTCTCCATGAACGTTGAACCTAGCTCAAGGACCCCTGTCCCAGACCCTACTTCCAATCATATGTCAAAACAAAGGTTAGTTGAACCAAGTGTTTTATTATCCAAGTGAGGTTGCTGGAGTATGGTGAAAAGAGTGGTTAATGGAGGCATTTGGGGTGAGGAAGAAAACCATTCTATTTTTGTTTTCTCCTCACAAGGCCTGCTTTAGTGAAATGTTGCTGCAGGATCCTGGTGGTTTCCTGCACAAAGAGCACCTTCATAACCTTCCATTTCAATTATTTTAGGTTCCAAAAGGTGTGACAGATCTGGAGAACATGCAGGTGAGAATCTGTTGGATGAGAAGGGAGAGAGAAAATCTTTGATTTGACATGGGGAATGGAAACACTTAAGGGTATGGTGTTGGAAGGGAAATTATGAGCAATACATGGATCAGGGATAGAGACTTCAGGGCAGGTAGAATACTTCTAGATTTGGAATGCAGTCTTTTGTGAGAAAAGGGAGGGTCTACATCTTTTGGGTAGAGAACTCATCTACATGTAACATGAAGATGAAAAAGAATCTTTCGCCAGGATGAGGTCTGTGTTCTACATCAACAGGCAATTGTTTGTTTCTTTTCCAGGTGCCTATAACACTTACTTCAGAACCCATTTCACCTCAGCTAGATGGAAACACTTGTCTTAATGTTGTTTCGCAGGTATGGGAGTCCATTTTCCTACTTTCAGAACTAATAAGTATTGATATACATTCCCAAGAGTGCATTAAGGTCTCGTAGCTGCAGGGCATCCTTACTTGTATGTCACAGTATCACTGAAATTATCAAGAGATGGAGGTTGATTATCTTCTATACCTAAATTGTCATTTCATCCTATTTTCTCCCTTCTCCAGGCTTGGAACATCTGAAAACTCTTAACCTTTATCTCACATATCCTATTAATTATTAAGTCTTCCCCATGATTCTGTCACATTTCCATAGTGAGGACCTCAGCCGAGATTCTGATCACAGTGAGCATAGATTGCTTAATAGCCTAGATACCTTCTATTCTTCCATCTTTTCACCTGTTTTAAACATCTGCTTATAAAAGCAAAAATCATTTTGATTAGTGTCAAAATGTGCTCAGAACACTCTAGTTATTCTCAGTTACTTTTATACCAAATGCAAATTCATTAACCTAAACCAGTTACACGTACTCCCTTATCTTTAGCCACCTTTTATAACTGAGCTCAGATTTTGCTCCAGCTCTTAGCTTATTGTGCTTCTCATGTGACTTTGTTGCTCTGATCTATGCATGTCCCCTACCTGGAATGCATTGCCTCTTTATTAACTCATGCATCTTCCCCTTTTTCAAAATCTTACCCTCAAATCACCTCTTTCATGATACCTGACTTCAATAAATTGTACTCCACTTATTATTCCATTCTCTCTTTAACATTTCTTCAACACTTAATGCTGATATACTTTATAATTGGCACTTATTTTTTCATTTTATTAGACTGCAAGTTTATCAAGGACAGGAAATCTTTTATTTCCCTATAATGCCTAATATGTTGCTCTCTGTACAGTGAGTATTCCAATATTTTTGATTGACTAATTTTATCTTCTGTTTCATTTTAGGTTATCTATGAGATAGAGACCAATGGGATTCTGGGAATCCAGAAAATCTCTCTGTCTTTCATCTTGATGAACCTGTCTGGGGATCCCGGAGCTTCTATACGGCAACACTTCACTATACGTTTCCATGTCAGGGTCCTTTTCTCACGGGGTATTGGGGTCTTGTGGGATGAAGCAATGTTAGAAACAATATATCTTCTTGTAAGAAGGTTTGGGAACTGGAGGTAGTATTTGAATACCTATTTCAGCTCTTCCTTTGTAACCTTTCTACCCAGTTCTCCAGTGTCTTTGGCTAAGGGAGAAAGAGATCGCCAAGTAACTGAAATCCAGAGAGAATCTGCCAGTCACATTTTCATCTAAATTTTCAATCTCTTTATCCACTGCACTTTTTTATTAACATTGTTAGCAACTGGTAAAAATTCATTGATTTTTCTGAATTTATTCTTTCTCTACTTCTTGCTAGGTTTACTGTGATCAATGGCATGTTAGAGGAAAAGGTAAACCAGAGGAAAAAGGAAAACGTGGTCGATATAGCCTTACTTCTAACTAGTTGGAGAATTTATAATATTTCAATGCCTTCTCCAAAGAATAAAGAAACATGAAATTTGTGCTAGAAATACATGGTTGTTAGTTAATAATATTTATGATGAAATAAATCTTCTCTAGAGTGATCTCTCAACAAAAGACCCCTTACCTTAGGGCAAACTTAGGCTGCTCCCCTCCTCAGAGAGAGGTGAGGTTTCTCTAAAGACCTAACTCATATAGACTCATGAGTATTTGTCCTTTCTTTTCTCTGGTGGTACCCTTACTATCTTTTTTTTTTTTTAACTATAAAGTGAATTAGTCTCAAGGTGTATAGTTGAGATAAGTTAAAAGTATTCATACTTCGTGTTTCCTAGTTAGCTTTGCAGGAATTTTCTCCAAGATCTCACAATCCTTGCTTGCTAGTTACCCTATTTCTATTCTCAGGCTTGGGCTAAACTCTATTGGAAAAGCAGGGCACTTTTCTGTCGGGGCTCAACCTCCTTGCCTCTAGGTCAAAGCTCTTCTCAACTCAGCCAGTGTGCCCTGGACTTAACCCAAAGAAATATCCTAACTATCCCCTTGGTTCCAGGTAATCATCATAGTATTTATTTGCTTTAACTGAGTCTCCCACATCAGTCAGTACTTCTTGAGTTTTTGCTAGCTGGCCATGCTTTTGAATCCTTTGGACTTCTTGCCCTCGTACAGTTTCTTTACAAGTACTAACTAGTCCCTGTAGAACCTTCCCACCTCACTGGGGAAGAACTCCCACCATTGTTAGAAACACCTTGGGAAGACAAATTCCAATGTCAGTGTTTCTTCTCAAACACTGTTTTACGGAATGATAACTCTTCTGCAACTCAGTTATCTTTAATTCTTTTGGATCAATGAGGCTGGACAAAATCCCAGTTATTTGGGGTGAGTAGGTGGTTTTTCATTTTCCTTGCCTCAGGATTATTGGTGGATTATAAAATAGTGGATTGGGACTAGAAGAGAATTTAAAAGCAACTGATTCCAGCCCCCTCCCCTTGGCCCAGAGAGGTTGAAATACCTTACAAGGTTATTGTGAGAATCAAATGAAATAACATAAATAAATGCTTTGCTGATCTTAAAGTGCCAAATCAATACAAGCAATTAGATTCTGGTCCGCTGATTCCTAATCCAGCATACTTCTACTTCAGACATTAACTGAAGCTTATTTCAGCATTAAAATCACAGAGACTTGTCTTTTAAGGCTTCCTAGTCTAAGTAGTTTTACTTTTTTCCCATGATTTACTATTTTTCTTCTTACAGGCTTTTCAGCGTAGAAGAGCTGCTCTTCCTTTGGCTAGAAGTGGGAATCCTGGCTATATTTTTGGAATGCCTCTCCTAGTTTTAAAAGATGATACCAGTGATCCAGTATCCTCCTCAGAGTAAAGTTTGGTTTATTAAGGCTATCTAGAAATTCTGAAAGGGGGACAGCTAGGTGGTACAGTGGATAGAGCACCGACCTTGGATTCAGGAGGACTAGAGTTCAAATCTGGCCTCAGATTTGACACTAGCTGTGTGACGCTGGGCAAGTCACTTAACCCCATTGCCTACCGCCCCTCCCCCCCCCCAAAATGAAATTCTGAAAGAAAAAAAAAAACTACCGTTGGCCATTTTTTGGTTTCTCCTAATGTCCCAGATCTTTTATCTAGGAACTTAACATTGATTTTACCAGATTGTTGCCTGGTCAGATGCCACCAAGGAAGTGTTGGGCCTACCATAAGCTTTGAAGCATGTTGTAGGTTGGATAAAGATGTACATTTAATGCTCTTTTTTTGCTAGAATATTTATATGTTGGTGGATAACTAAGTATTTTTTGAAAATGTCATACTCTGATTAATATAATGAATTAAGAAGAAAGACAAAATCAAGTCTTTTGAAAAGTTGGGTGTTTATAAGGCGTAAGCTGTATTAGAGAAGTGGATACTACATTTTCCATTCTTTTCTATTTTTCCTTGTTACTTCCTTGACCATCACTCTCTATCTTCACAGATGACTATCTCACAGAGCCACAGTGATGGAAGTTGCTCTGTGAATAGACGAAAAGTAGAATTTGGGGTGAATATGATGACTGGTTGCAAGTTGAGGTAATGCACTCTGTCTCAGCATTGCTTTCCATGATTCTGTTTCTGCTCTAACTAATAATTAGTACGTTCTAAATGTCTTGAAGGTGCAGGGAAGAGAGGGAAAAAGGACTCTTAAGGGTATCCTGAGTGTGAAAACCACACGAAGAAGACCTGTTCTAGGTTCTGGCGATGCTCCCTCTGGGCAAGGCAGAACTGCTTCCGGGGAATTTCCCAATGCTAAGATTATTACAGCTGTATGTTAGTTACCCATTAATCCTAGACTTTTGCTGAATGACAAAAAAGGAAAAAGAGAAAGAATTGTCTTCAGCTGTCATCAGAGTGCATAGCTATTGATTAATTTTCTAAACCATTCCTCTTTGATTTCTACCCTGTTTTTCTTCCCATCTGCATTTACAGGGTAGAGAACAGAAACTGTGACCATTTGCAGGACGAGATCTATAAGACTCTTAGTGGAACATCCAGTCCAGTATACCTAGGCATCATGGGTAATTCGGAGCCATCCCACAGAGGACATTGGGTCAAGGTCTTCACCAAGAATTGCAGTGCTCTGGTAATGAGGGAATCAGTTTATTTACCTGAAATCTAATTAACTTTTTCAGTTTTGCAATAAAACATAAGATATGTAGAAAGAGTACCATCAAAATTAGTCCTCTTTACCTAGATAAAGTTCCTAGATAGGAAAGGACTCCTTCTATAGGAGTTAGTTCCATTAAAAGGAATTGATATCAATATTTCATTTTAAGTCAAATATGTACTCAATTTACCTTAGTGTGGCATCATGGTAAGTGTCTGGACTTGGGGAGAGAACAAACATTTATTAAGTACCTACTATGTGCCAGGCTCTGTATTAAGCACTTTTACAAATACCTCATTTGATCCTCATAACAACTCTGGGAGGGAGGTGCTATTATTATTATCCCCATTTCACAGTTGAGAAAATTGAGGCATACAGAGGTTAAGTGACTTGCCTAAGGCCACACAACTAGTACATATCTGGGGCCAGATTTGAACTTAGGTCGTCTTCTTTTTTTTCTTTCTTTTCTTTTTCTTCTTCTTCTTCTTCTTTTTTTTTTTAAGGCATTTGGGGTTGTGACTTGCCCAGGGTCACACAGCTAGTAAGTGTCTGAGGTCAGATTTGAACTCAGGTCCTCCTGACTCCGGGGCTGGTGGTCTATCCACTGTGCCACCTAGCTGCCCCCAAACTTAGGTCTTCTTGACTTCAAGCCCAGTGCTCTATCCACTGCGCCACCTAACTTGGTAGTTAAGGGTTCTAAGTCAGGCTCTGCCACTGACTTGCTTGCTTTGTGACGTTGGGCACATTTAACCTTTCTAAGGCCTCAGTATAATGAGCAGATTGGACTAGATAGGATTTCAAAGATTCAGTGGTAAATAGGATGGGGTATTGCTTTTTAAATGAAAGTATTTAAAATGAGTAATCAGTTTAAAAGCATTGAAACTGGTGGTCTGATGTTCCCAAGCCAACCCATACACACAGACCCACATATTCCAGACATTCTGTTGGATCCTTAATTTTTGGTTAGCCTTTTTTCCTTCCATTTGGGGGAGTAGAAGTAGAAAAATAACAAATTAAAGTGTAAACTAAGCAAATAAAGACAGAGGATTCAGAATAATGGGATGAATGGAACCTGATTAGTGGTTATGAGAATCAAGGAAGTACATTCCAGGCAGAAGGAATAATAACATAAGGCAAGAATGAGCAAGATGTGTGGGTCAGACAGCATGATCCAACTTGAATAGGATTAGAGGGTAGGCCTTAGGGACTAGTGAGAACTAAGGTAGGAATGGGGCAAAGCCAGGTTCTGGAGGGCCTTGAGAGCCAGGCAGACATTGAGACTTGAAGGGGAAGTGCAGGCAAGAGGTATAGGTTTTGAATCTGAGTAGTGATATGATGAAAGCATTTAACGGACAGTGAGTCCCCTAGGGCAAAACAGTGTTAGGGCAGGAGATTGAATAGATTGTAAAAGCCTGTTTAATTCCTAATGTAGTTGACATGGAACCAACTGGTCCAAATGTGGTTTTGCCCCGTAGGCAAAACTGCTCTGTGGCCCAGGGAATATTTGTGCTTGGTGCGCAGAGCAGAGATTTCGTTGGCACTGAGAGTGTCTCCCTCCTGCTACTGCCAGATAGGCCTCTGGTTACACCATAGGTGGTGAAAATTTAAGGTGGTAAATTTTAATTTTTGAATACTGCAGACACTTTCCAATAAATTCCATGCCTTTTAACATAGAGAAATATCTAAGAACAAGCAACGAACTTGAGAGCACGTCAGATAGTGTATGCAACTTCCTGCAACTGCAACCCCCACCACTCTTTAAATTGAGATAATTTTTATTATTGTAAAAACCAAATAAAGTAGACAAACTGGATAAGAGGTACTGTACATAATAATTTCTTATATGAAAAAATGCCACACCAATATCTGAACTTAGATTGAAAAATAAAAATAAATCCCAAGTTCCAAATGCCATTTATTGTACCTTCAGCTATAGGACTAGATACAGAGGTTTTTAGCTTGCAGTTCATTAATTTTTTAAAATATATTTTAATAATTGGTTTTCTTTTTCAACTTATGTATTTTATGTTTCAAAACCATTATTCTGAGAAGGGGTCCATACTCTTTTTTTCATAAATTTTGATTAATATCTTTTTATGTTGTTTGAATTTCCCTCCTTGCTCTTCTCTCTCCCAGAGCACCATTCCGTATGGCAGAGAATGTTTTTTTGTTTGTTTTTTGTTTTTTGCTTTTTGGTGAGGCAATCGGGATTAAGTGTTGACTTTGTCACTACAGGCTAAAAATTGTACTTCTTGCTGTTGCATACCATTTTCCTTGGAGATCCAGATATTGTGGGGTTACGTGGGCCTCCAGTCCAACCCACAAGCTCGTGTGTTAGGAGGCCGGTACCTGTATCAGTGCAACTTTATAACGGTAAGATGTAGCTTTGTCATGGACTGATTAGTCTTGCAAATGTCACTGCATATGTGGTGGTCAGTACCACAAGACTGTCTTTATAATACCTCTTTCTTATCTTAGAACCTGTCTACCATATTTTCCTGGTATTTGTTGGAGCCCTTGAACTTATCTTGTCTACTTATAGAGTCCATACTCTCTAATGGTTCCATTTTGTTTGAATTCTTATTATTGCCTCTCCACAAATTCTGCTAGTTACATCCAGGAAAATATTTTGAGACATTGCTTCAATATATAATGTTTCATCATATAGCTAAGAACAATCACATTTGAAGAAAAATTCCAATACTCCATTGAAGTTTATTCTCAAGAAATAGTGTAAGAAAGAATTAGAATCACTTCTTGATTATTCCAGCAGAGGGGAACATTAGACTCAATCATCCAATCAGCAGATAGGCAAAAAATAAGTTATATTTTACTTTAGGATGCATATTTGTTATATCTGAATAGTAATGTATCTCAGAGTGAGTGCTCAAAAAATGAGTAATTACTAAGTAATATAGTGAATATCAACTCTAGTAAGAACTAGAAAACTATTCAGTTTTTCTCCCTGGCTTGTACCAGAATTGATAGCATTATTTTTCAGACTTACACAGAAACTTGGCTTAGTATTGACCTATCCTTCACTTCTCCTTCCATATGGATCAGTCTTTGGTTCATACCTTTCCTAGCAATCAAAGAGGTTTTATTTTTGTGGCCTTTCTTGGTAACTGAACCTGAGTATCAGAGAGAGACCGACTTCCTTTCCTCTTTTCTTATACAGTCCTGGCAGGCTCAGACAGTTCTGAGAAGTAAGAGCAACTGGAGTTGGTAATGGAAACAAAGATGTTAAGTCTAGTGCCTGCTATTTAAAAAGCCGTTAAGAATAAGACTTATCGTCTGGGCAGCTTATCTCTAGGGATAATGGCACAGTAACCACATTGTGTTTAATTTTCTTCCAGTTTTATTGGAAACTTGATTTCTAACATACATATGCTAAATATGAGTCAGCATTCCGGGGGTTGGGGGAGGGGGGTTCTGGATTCAAATGTTGGCTTTGCACCTTACCACCTAACTGAGCTTGGGCAAGTTGCTTAATTTCTATGGACTTCAGCTTCATTATCATTAGAATGTCAACACCATAGGCTTAGAAATTGTTTTGTTCTTTGTACATGTGCTCACGATGCCTTGCACAGTGTCCATGCCAAGATGATTCATAAATACGTGTTGACTGATTGATAGCTCTGTAAAATGAGCACTTCTAAGGTCACTCTTAACTCTCAATCCATGTTCCTATGACTTTCTTTTTTGTTTCTTGCATTCATCATGCATATTTATGCCCAGCTTCAGTTTCCCAAGGTAGTTGTGTCCTTAGATAGATAAATCCTCATGTTTCTATCATGTTTGTCCTCATTGTAGCACCAGTTTTTTCATAGAGTACTAGAGTCCTTGGTTTTTAAAACTAATAGGGGTTTGAGAATGGACTGGCATCCTGGGATTTGTATTGCCGAAGGACAAGCGTTCCCTCTCAGTTCTGTGCATTGCTTGGAACCATTCAGATCTTTGAGCCAGAAGGTACTTGTAAGTCCTATCTGAGAGTTCTTAAAGGGATGAACATAGTCTTTGAGGGAAAGCTTGAGAGAAAGTAGCGAAGACCTCAGGAACCAAGCAGCTGCAGTGGGAAGGTGACACCCCCAGAGCCTTCTGGGACTGAGGAGAGGAGATGGAAAGAAGTGGTGGTACCAAGACAATAACTGAACACCGGAATGAAAAGAGGGCTGAATTGTGACAGTGAAGGGAGTGATCTGGAGTAGGGGAAGGTGGGGGTCGTTAGGCCTGACAAGCATCTCAAATACAGGGCTCACAGGTTAGATTCTTCAAGGACTGAGAGAGGGTCTGGAGCAAAAAAGTCTGCTTTTTTCTCAATTTCCCTACCCCATCACTGTCCTGTACAGACACTCTAAAATACTCTGCCTGCTTCTTTTGCCTAAATATTTTCTGTATCCTGCTTTTTGCTTTAACCTTAAAGAGGAAAGGGGTTAGCTAGAAGTGTACAAAACTTTACAGAGAAAAACCTTTGTCTGAATGTTAGGAATTTTCCTAGCTTGAGGCTCAGAGCTATTATAATTGTACTCATAGCTTTTCATCCAGTATAAATGCTATATAACAGCACAGAAAGGGGCCCAGTGGTCCTGAGAGCCATCATATTGCCCATAGCTATTGTAACAGGGTCTGGCTGATTAAATATCCATCCTCCATGTGAGAAAGGAAAAATGAACAAGGTGGAAATAGTTGAGGCCTAGGTAAGGGTCAACTTGGCCTCTTCCAGAAAGGAGGAGGGGGTGGAAAATATCCTTCTGCAGTGCTACCTACCAGTGTTAACCCAACAAATATTCATTATCATGGGCAAGCCATTAGGGAAAAAAAGACAAAAATGAAACAGGCCTTACACCCCAAAAGGTAACTTTCATTTGGGAAATGGCAACATTTACAGAGTCAGTAAATATGAAGTAATAGAAAATAAATTTCCTGAGGAAGCGTCTGTCTTCTGCAGTTCCCCTACCCTTAGAGGCAGAGCCTCAGAGCAGAAAGTAGCACCATCACCAGAAATAGTGACTGATAGATTAAATATTCATCCATGAAGTTCCCATTATGAAAGTTTATCTCCTTTACAGGTCATTTACTCCTGACTAATGATAATATCACTTAATGAATTATTAGACAATGCTAGTACTTTGCACTTTCTCCTACAGTAATTATTGTTAATATTCTCTATAGAAGACTTCCAAAACTCCAGGTTCACTGAGTTACTTTTATTGTTTTATTACCTTTTACCTTTTTTTTTTTTTAAACCTTTTTCTAAATTAGACTCAGCATTCTCTTTGTATATGTCCATATTTGATTGAGGTCTTTTATGTGAAGTTACTTATAAACTAAATTTTATTCCTTATGCTACTTATTTTACATAAGTTATTTGTGATTTCTGATGACACCATTGACTTGGTTTATTAAACAAAGGAAGAAAAAAAGAGAGGTGCTATCTCGGACAACTGAAAAATTTTGTTCTTCATTAGCTTCCAATATATGGTCACCTTAGGATTTGGAATGGAGACTTCATGAATTTGAGGAATTTAAAAATAAGGAGACTTGATCAGTTTCTCTTACCCATTTCATCTCCTTCATTTGGTGGCGAATGCCTTTTGTGGAAACTTTGATTCCAAGGTTCCCTTTTTCTGTTTAGGGAAGGAAAAGGATATCTGTCACAAGACTTAAGTGTCCAAAGGAGATTTATTAAAGGGAGTTCTTTAAGTTGACTTGAGATGTAAATGAAATGTCACAGGCCTTCCAATCTGTGTCCAGGTTGGGGCAGTGGTGTGGCAGCAATAAAGATTGACCTCTAGCCTTCACTTTTTATGAAAGAAAGGCCTCATCTCTGTTGTGGGATAAAAATGTTGCCTCTTTTCCTTGAGTTCTGGAATAGTGATGACTGTCTGCCTGTGTCTGTCTGCCACCTTGGTTTCCTAACCTGTGCTTAGAGATCTTAGAGCGTAGGAATTGATTAAGGGAAAACTGAGAAGATGAAAGGGTTGTGTTCCCTCCTTTTCTGTAGGTTAGCTGCAGCTAACAATGTTGGGTATTGTGACACTGTCTGGACCCTAATTGATATTTTATCTATAGTGTTATTGGGAAATCAAGAGACAGCCCTCAGGAGATTTTAGGAGTGAAAGTAAAAAGCTAGGGACTGTGAGCATTTATGAGATACATAGCAATTATCTATTGAGTGCCAGCTTAATAATTTTAGGGGATTCTCTCACATTCTCTCATAGAGGTGTTTGGGGGTTTTTTCCCCCTTGGGGTTCTACAAGTGAAATGCTAACCCATATCCTGTAGTGGTGGAGGAATGAACTTCTGATACACAAAGATTCTAGCATGGCCTTACTCGTTATTATAGCTCTGTGTAATTGTGTATGCATACACTTTTGGTTTTTTTAAATCAAAAGTCAAATGTGTATATGCATATTTGTACAAAGCTATAATATCAAGTAGTATTCATTTATTTATATTCCTTAAAGGAGGATAGCAGTTGTAATTGCAAATTTCTATTTTTTTTATTTCTTTCTTTTTCTTTTTTTGGCTAGGTAATGGGGTTAAGTGACTTGCCCAGGGTCACACAGCTAGTAAGTGTTATGTGTGAGGCCGGATTTGAGTTTAGGTCCTTCTGAATCCAGGGCCGGTGCTCTATCCGTTGCACCATCTAGCTGCCCCAATTGCAAATTTCTAAAAAGCGAAAGCATATGTTTACATGTAAGAAGGTGTCATAGAAATTAGAAAACATTGCAGTAGTTAAAGATTTATTGGATCTACCAGGGTTTCCTCTTTAAATCCATAAATTTATCCCTGAGAGTAACAGGAAAAGAATTTGTCTAACTGACATAGTAAATGATAGCTAAATCACATATTTTTCTGTTGATTTTCTTTTCCTTATTTTGTAATGATAATCTTCATTTTCGATGATTCTTGCCTCTCTTTGAAGCCCCAGTTTCATTTACCAGTAGTCAGATTCCATCTTCTGAAAGCAATTATGCTTGTTGCTTCAAAAATAGATACCTGGTTTTTTCATCACAAGGCTCAGCAACACTTGGTTAGTTATTAAGGGCTAATCCTTTCTATACCACAGTCTGTAAAATGTAGTTGCAAACAATATTTTATTTATATATATATATATATATATATATATGAGATATATAACATGTATGTGTGTATACATGTATATTATATGTGTATATATACATGTACATATATTTATATATATTTACATATATACAACTTATTCTTCAGTACTGATATTGTTTTTCATTTATGATCAGAGATGGGGACTGGACATAGGATTTTCTGGCATAGGGAACTCCTTAGATGAGGAAAATCTCTCTTCTCCTGCATGTTGGCAACTTGTCTGCATCTTTGGCTTAGCAAGTTGC